ACTTCGAAAACAATTTATTCATCTTTCTGCTATTTAAGTTCTATATTTTAATATTTCATGACATAGTCGGATAATGTAAATGTAAATAAAGTCACTATTTCATTTTGAATTGATATATAAAAATAAATCATAAAAATATTCAATATTTTGTATTTTGAGAGAATTGAGTGAATAGTCTTATTCTCTCTCACAGCATGAACGACATCTATTGAAGCACTTTTTTCGGAGATAACAGACAACTTTTTAGCCTATACTTTTATTTGTCTATGATCGTACAACATTTTATAGTAATTTGTATAAATTATTGGCTTATAGAAAAATTATTTGGATTATGCGAAAAACTTTTGGGCAATGATATTTTTCAAAACCATTTTTTGTCTTAATTATAGTTATATATTTTCGGATTTTCACACATTTCCCCTTTATAAATATACTACACACACAGACGGATACCAACTCATCCACAACATTTTTTTTAAATCTGGAGACGTCACATGCTATTTAATCCTCCATTACTGCGTAAACAATTATTTTAGTATGCGATGTTGTTCGTTTTGTTAATTTATTCGCTTTTGTTTTACTTTTAAATTGTTTTGTTGTTTAGAATAAGCAAATAACAACAAACATCTACGATATACGAAATACATACAAACCTCCATATATATGTATGTGTGGTTATTTTCCCTTCACTTCACAAGTCTGGGCATTGGGCCAACAATTTTTGGTTAAAGATTTTTTTATCTTTGGCATGATAATCATCTTGTCTCGCTTGAAATAAATCCAGATGGGCGCGATGGGGATGATGATAAGATGGAAGGTATCACATACATCAAGTTAGGCGAGAGATGCCACAATCAGCCAAGTCAAAAAACCAAATACAACAAAAAACCAAGAATTTGTCACCAATGTTTTCTTGAAAATTTCTCTTCGAATAGAAGGGAAACAGATCTCAAAAGATGTGAGAACAAAAGTCATCAGCCTTAAAAAACCGCTGTACCAAATTATCCGGAAGCAAAGCGATAACAAAGAATTTCATAGAAAATAAAATCGAGGAGGTGTAATGAGAGGGAAAGGAGATACTTTCACTTTTTATTTTCGACAAGAATTTTATTCTACAGTGGGATGAAAATATATACGATTTTTTTGGTAGAAATGACATTATAACAAGTAAAATGGTACCAGTCGGTTTTGCCGACAGAAGTATGCCTCCAGCCTTGAGCTATGATTATTCAAACTGTTGGCCTTTTGTGGGGGAGTTTCCGAAGCAGTTGGCCAATATTGACCAATTCGTTTCTGACCTAAGACTGATAAACAATATTACAACGTGTCAGACTATATGGGCTACTTCCTATACTTTTTATGAGATATGTGAAAATTTTTGAAAAATGTGGAAATATGCGCGAGGTAACAAATAAAGCGGACCGAAGTATTCCGTTTTCATACTTCATCTAATACAGATAAAAATATTGATATGTGCATTTCAATTTTATTTTATTTCCAATTTTATGCGAAACCACAAATTTTGATAAATCCCGCATTCATCTCAGGTTTCCGTTTGAGAGAAATATTTGGAAATAGCAAATTGTAAAGAATCGCTGACTTCTTTTGTAAGTTATGACAGATATAAGTATTGGAAATTGTGACCTTTTGTGGGTGAGGTACCAGAAAGGGATAATCTTTACAACGAATTCTGCGTTATCAAAAATATGTGCATGCGTGGAATTTGAATAGAGTTGGAGGCATATTCCGCTTTCTTTGAGCGTTTTGTTTTTTAAAATCTTGAACCCTTTGTGGGGGAGGTACCAGAAGAAATGGTCCGATCTCTACCATCTTTATAACAGAGCTTGTGTTGATGGAAATATTGAGATGCACCAAGTCCGAATGGAATCGGATGTTAATTTACCGTTTTATGAGCTTCATGGATATTAAAAACTTTGACCCTTTGTGAGAGAGGTAAAAGAAGCAGTGGACCGATATATCCCGCCTTCACAGCAGTTCTTGTGTTAGTAGAAATAATGGGATGTGTGAAATATGAAGAGAACCGGATGTTTATTTCGGATTTTATGATCGTTTTGATCATTCAAAACTTAGACCCTTTGTGGGGGAGGTACCAGAAAGAATGGTCCGATCTCTACCATCTTTACAATAGATCTTGTGTAGATGGAAATATTGAGATGTACCAAATCTGAATGGAATCGGATGTTAATTTTGCGTTTTATGAGCTTCATGGATATTCAAAACGTTGACCCTTTGTGGGGGATGTACTAGAAGGAGTGGACCACCAATGCATCCAATTTTCACACCAGACCTTGGGCTAAAAAAATATTGTGATGTGTGTAATTTAAAGAGAATCGGATGCTTATTTCGGATTTTATGATAGTTTTTCTTATTCAAAACTTTAACCCTTTGTAGGGGAGGTACCAGAAGAAATGGTCCGATCTCTACCATCGTTGTAACAGATCTTGTGTTGATGGAAATATTGAGATGTGCCAAGTCTGAATGGAATAGAATATTAATTTCCCGTTTTATGAGCTTCATGGATACTCAACATTTTAACTCTTTGTGGGGGAGGTACCACACCAGACCTAGCACTGGTGCAAATATTATGATTTACAAAGTTGGAGCAAAATCGGATTATTGCTTCTCTTTCTGTGCAGTAAATTATTTTCTTTGAAAATGTTGACATTTTGTGAGGGAGGTACCAGAAGGAGTGGAACGATATTTCCCATCTCCGAACTCGATCGAAGTTTGACAATAATACTACGATGTACTTAGTTTGGATCAAATCGGATACTCTATTCGAGAGTTATCGAATAGGCTGCTTTTTCAATGATTTTTTAATAAAAATTGTATTTATTAAAAATAATTTGAATTAGAACAAATGCAATCAATGACATATCAACCCATTGTACAACTAAAAGATATTTCAAAGATTATAGCAACCAAAAAATGTATTTTCACCATGCCCATCCATCTACGCAAGAAAATCAAACTAAAGCAGCCAAACAAAATTCACACACCATGGATGAATAAACTACAAATTCTTATGGATATCACTTGACGGCGTTTTATTTTCGTTTTGTTGTCGTTGTCAGGGACAATCGAATTGTTGTTGGTTATGGGGCTTGTCCAACATCGTCACAAAACTATGTAGCCATACCAACAACAAGAACGCAAATACAAGATCATGCTAAATTGAAACTTTCGTGAATAGGCAAATAATTTTTACTGATCTGCTTTCAATTTCCCCTTCTATTTGACGTCAATATTACAAAACAAAACAAAGTTTTAGACAAATGTGATATGGAACACACAACTGTTTTTATGTGCCTAGGAAGGCTCAAAAATATTTGATTATTGATTATTTTTTTAAATATGCAACTCGTCATACGTAAATATTTCAGATATGAAAATAAATTTTATTTGAACACTGAAGAGTACTCCAGAAAAAGTTGCCATCTTCTATTCAGCAAATGAGTATATGTAAATGTTTGTAAACCTACTGTAAAATGCCATAAATAGTTGCCATAAAATTTCCAAATGGCAACACTGGATAACTCAACGGTCAAGATTTCTCTCACTTACAAAAATGTGGTTTATCAGACGACATTTGGTAAAAATTTGTACAATTTGTTTCGTCAAAACAAAACAACTTGTCCGCAATAAAAAGAAACAAAACAAGCAAAAATTAGTATTTTATTAAAAATAAACAAGACATCTACCAAATCTTTAAAATACCGAAATTTGAAACAATTTCGTGGGTAAATTTCGCTATGAGAAAACGTGGACCTAGGTATTTAATGTTCTGCCACCGAAGCTAGAACCCATTATGAACTGCAAATACAAATTCGTGAAAAAACGTGACAAAAATCCTCAAAATCCTATATCCAACCATCCTAGATTTAAAACAAGCTTTTGCATGATTCTGTTTCTTTACCTTTTGCAATTGTTTTTTTTCTCTTAGGAGAGGAAAAATCGTATTTACTCTCAACAACTTTATTCTGCACAAGTTATGGCAAAATGTTGTTGATGCCCCAAAGGTCCAGCAAATAAGAGAGTGAAAAAGAACAATTTTAATAGTTGATTTACCGAAAGTTTGGAAATTCTTACTGGAGCAATTTTTTCATTAAGAATTATCCAGCAAAAGTCGACTATTTAAAAAAATAAATGAAAATATTAGGAATTAATTTAGATATTTGAATTATTTTTTATAAAATAAGCATTCAATATTGGAAAAAAATTCTGTTTTCCTATAAAACTCGAAATTTTGATATGGATTTTACTGTTCTGCAAAATTTTAGCGTAAGATAGTAATTTGTTTCTCACTACAAGTTACCGAGTTATTTTTTACCTATTGCTGAGAAACTAAACGAACGGAATTATTACATGTTTACGTGCTCATAACAATTGTTAATATTTCTTGTATGTCACGTGCCGTTCGTTGTTGGTCCTTGGCCTCTAAATGGTTGCGTGACATTTATTACCCTGTCGTTTTAAAGGTTCATTGAGTTTTTGGAAGTTTGGATAATATTCTATAGGATTCCTGCTTAACAATATCGTGAGGTTGCAGTAAGGTTGTTGATTCGTGTCTTAATAATTCGAAATTAAACTGTAATTAATACATTTTTATACGGTGACATACGTAGATACATGTTAATATATACTTAATTATTAATAAATATGTTTTTTTTTTTCATAAATTTCCGTTTATCAGTCATGACAATCTTAATTTAATTCTTAAATAATTTTTTATTTCGGGGGGATTCCTTGACCTTTGTCTTTGGGAATAATCAGCTGTCATCCTTGATGAATTTAACGTCAAGACTTTTAAGCTAGCAAAAGAACGAATACTTCCTTTTTTATTCTGGAACAATGTTTTGTACATATGTGATTATGCCGTCAATTATTTATATTATGATTTACACATTACCTTTTTTAATTTATTTTCCCCCATTTCAAGTAATTCCCCACTAAATGTCCCCTCTTTTTTTAAATTCCAGTGTTGAAATTGGTGAATCTGTGCGCGGTGAAGATGTGTACATTGTGCAATCTGGTTCCGGTGAAATTAATGACAACTTGATGGAATTGCTGATCATGATCAATGCCTGCAAGATCGCCTCAGCATCCCGTGTAACAGCTGTGATTCCTTGTTTCCCATATGCCCGCCAAGATAAGAAAGATAAGGTAAGTAAGGTAAAGAAAAAAACGAAACTCAAAGTATTTGGTACAAAATTTCTTAAAATGTTAAGTGAAAACACACCACCGAAACAGAAAATGCGAAAGAAGAAGTTGATAATGACAACAGAAATGTAAACGTGAAGTGAAAATTATGGTTTTAATTTTATTGTTTTTTCTTTTTGTTTTCTAATTGTTTTGCTATTGAAAAAATAATAATTGTACTAAAAACAAAACCAAGCTTATTTTTGCATTTTGATGTTGTTGTTGTTGTTTTTTTCTTTTTAATGTGACTTATTTTCGATTGTTGTAATTTGTTTTTTATTTCAATTTTTGGTCTTTGGAAAACTACCAAGGCAACAACTTTTCAACCAAAAAAAAAAAAAGTCGTCAAGTAAATTATCGATTTATGGGCGGATAATTTTGAAGTTGTGTTGTGTATTAATGTTCAAATATGCTCTCTCATTTATTTAATTTATTAAATTATTTGATTTTCTTTAGCTGGCCGGCTCTGATGATGGCGATGTAAAGCTCCGTAGTAAGAACTACGATTGGAAATTTAGGGTATTTACTTCGTTCTAGTTTTCAGATTTGTTTTAATCTTTTTTGTCATTTTATGTTTAACGCTGGGTGAAAAACAAAAAAAACTAAAACAACAAGATATTCATATTTATATTAAATTCACAATAATTGTAACATCCGAGTAACATTTGAGGAGATAACAAATAGCAAATATAAATATATATATTTTTTTAAGCATATTTTGTACAAAGATTTTTTTGTGTGATTTTGTAAGCAACGCTGAAATTGTGAATAATTTATCAAATGAAATATAATATTTGAATTTGATTTTTTATTCTAATTCATTCATATTCAAATTTTAATATTGGTAAATTAACAATAATTCTATAATTTTATACTAATATTGTTTTCTATGATTCATCAATATTAATAAAAAACAAGTAAAAAAACATTAAGTTCGGCCGGGCCAAACTTTTAATACCCTCCACCTTAGGGTAAAAGAAACATTAGAAGAAATGTGGCAAAAACCATAAAAATACCGAATATCGGGGGGTACCGTTATATGGGGGCTATATCAAATCATGGACCCATGCATGCAATGTTTCGCCACCGAAGCTGGAACCCATTATGACCAACAAATACCAATTTTCAGACAAATCCGTGAAAAAATGTGGCAAAAATCATCCAATTACCGAATATCGGGAGGTTCCGTTATAAGGGGGCTTTACCAAAACGTGGACCTACACATGCAATGTTTTGCCACACGCTCAGGCACCCATTATGACCCACAAATACCAATTTTTAGACAAATCAGTGAACAAATGTGGCAAAAACCATCAAAATACCGAATATCGGGAGGTACCGTTATATGGGGGCTATACCAAATCATGGGCCCATACATGCAATGTTTCGCCACCGGAGCTGGAAACCATTATGACCCACATGTACCAATTTTTAGACAAATCCGTGAAAAAATGTGGCAAAAAAAAATAAAATACCGAATATCGGGAGGTACCTTTATATGGGGGCTATACCACAACGTGGACCTATACATGCAATGTTTTGCCACACGCTCAGGGACCCGTTATGACCTACAAATACCAATTTTCAGACAAATCCGTGAAAAAATGTGGCATAAATCATCAAAATACCGAATATCGGAAGGTACCGTTAAATGGGGACTATACCAGAACGTGGACCGATATATCTCATTTTCAATACCAACCATCCTAGACACAATGCAAATAGCTCTGCTAAATTTTGGCCCTCTACGTCAAATAATGTGGGCTGTATCGTGATTTCAACAGACAGACAGTCAGACGGACAGACAGACAGACGGACATCGTTAAATCGACTTAGAATTTTATGCTGATTATGAATATATATACTTTATGGGGTCTAAGACGAATATTTAAGGATGTTACAAACGGAATGACAAAGTTAATATACCCTCCTTTCCAAGGTGGAGGGTATAATAACGTACAATGATTTGATGAGTAGACATTTTTATATGTTTAAATTCTTTTATTGTACCTGATGTTAAATTTATATTTATATTCGATTTTTTTGTTTATTTTTTAATTACAATTTAATTAAAACGGTACATTGATTAAATTTATACACTTAATTAGATGCATTTTTAATGACAATGGTATAAACTATAAATGATAACATTTTTGATTATTTTTTGTACTGTCAAAATTGAATCTAAATATAATAACTTATGTTTTTTTTTTCTTGATCTATTCAGAATTCTCTTACTTTTTGTTACATATAACTTCCATGTTTTATGTCAAGACTCCTGAAAGTAACATTGCATGTTGAGTTTTATGTTCAATTTAATACTAGACTTAATTTTATGTTTTAACTTTTTAAATAAATATTTATTTTTTAAATATTTTTTTTCTTGCAATGAAATGCACTAGAGATTAAACACTATAAATATAACTCATTTTATTCGTACAAAATTTGCTTAAAATTTTAAAAATATTAGAAATTCCAAATAAAATTTGTAAGAAAGTCATTCGTACATGAAATCACAACAATTAGCTTCAAAATTATCTTTTTAAAAAATGCGACGATATTTATATTGAATTTGGTATTATTTTTTTTTTATTATAAAAAAATTGTAGAATGCAGCTTCATTGCAAAATATAAATTACAACAATTAATTTATTCACATGCAATTTTTGTATTTATGTATAATTTAAAAAAAAAAATAACGACTTTGGTGAACATTAGTTACTTTTGTTTTTTGTGTATTTATAGATATTATGGTATTTTTATATGGTGTATTATTTATTATTAATGATAAGAAATATACACATACACCAACATTTTGTTATTATAAATTTGTGTCATTGTTTGTCACGTTTTGTCCCTCCTAATTATGTCTATGTATTGTTATGTTTTTTATTTATTTTTTTCAATCAATATAATTTACATTTGATTAATTTACTGATAAAATTCAATATTTGTTCTAAGTCAACATTCCATGTCTCGAAGTGAAAACAATTACTTATTTATTATACTCTCACCCTTATAGGTCATATATGTGTTTTGACAAGACCCTTTTACGAACATTTAGAGGGCATATTGTTATGTCTACCAGTATGTATAATGCCCACTACTACACGGTGCAACACAACAAATAATTACGGGGAAATGCGGCAGATTATGAAAGAAGAGAATGTTAAAAAAGAAGCCACGTATATCTGTGTTTTGAAAGTTCTCATTAAAAATGAACCAAAATAGAAGGGCCCAGTTCCCCCTTCTTCCACTCTTTTGGTAATTTTCGGATAAAGATTCCGTGGAATCTGTGCATTAGGTATACGGTGTCTTCGACAATATTGCAGATAAAAATACGAGGAATATTTTGATTCAACATTTTAACCCTCATGAGGGTCAACGATGGGTCTTTTTGGTTCTTATTTTCAAATATGGCTAAATATTTCCTTTAAACGGGATCGTAGGTAGTCAAAATATCCTACAAAATTATTTGTTATAAAGTTCTACCATAGGCCCTAGAAGACGTCGAGAATCTAACTCGTTCTTAAACGTAAGGGATTAATATGCCTTTAAAAGACATTTAAGGGTTAATCCGTACTGTGTGTGAATTTGTGCAAAAATATCCAACAAAGCATAATTTTAGATGGATGACGTCAAAGACAAAAATATTCTTCATTAAATTTTACCATAAGTCACCAAAGAAATCTCTACTTTTACTGTATATCGGCAAAATATTGCAATATTATTCCCAAAAAAACCGAAAAAAATCTTAATTTTTTTTGATACATATTTCCTCGGACTTCTTTCGAGTTGACATTTGAAAAAAATATAAAATGTCATTTTAGGCGGAAGGTGTCCAAAGAGAAATACTCTTCACAAAATGCCCATATAAAATATAAAACCATATAAATAAACTGTATATCTAGCTCCTATAGTTTTTTTTTTTTTTTTTGAAAATTACATTCGAATTTCCTGTACTAAAAGTGAAAATTATGTCTTCACTGCATCCAATACGAGTCAAAATCTCCATTTATACTTCATTTTTTGGAAAAGGAAAAAAAATTGGTTTACTTAAAACCATAGAAAATAGCGCATACATTTTTGTTAGTAAAAAACCTAGTTTATTTGTAAAATATTTTGCAATTTTCCAAATTCCCTAAAAATTTTCTTATAATTGCACTGTTCCATAGGCAGTCCGGGTTGTGGAAAATGCCTCAAGTGGACCTAATAGACCCCTATAGTTTGAGATATATTTCGCAATATTTAGTATAGAGTTTTAAAGTTTGATTAAGAACTTTGGACTATATCCGGAATCATTAATACAGAAAATGGGTCATATCGGTCCAAATTTTTAGCAAATAGTCACCTTGTTAGAATAACTCCGAATTTGAAACAATTCCGGTGAATAATGCGCTAAAATCATCAAAACACCGAATATCGGGAGGTGCCGTTATATGGGGGCTATACGAAGACGTGGACCTGCAAGGACAATTTTCTGCCATAGGCTGCAGAATCCATTACGAGTTTCTAATACCAAATTTGTAACAATTCCGGTGAATAATGTCGCTAAAATCACCAAAATACCGAATATCTGGTGGTACCATTGTATGGGGGCTATAAAAAAAACGTGGACCTACATGGCGCATTTTCAATACCAAAAATCCCGCAAATATAATATAAATTTGAGTAAAATTTTATCAACCTACTAAATTTCGTTCGGAAGCAAGAGTGATTTCCGCAGACGGATAGACGGACTGACGGACGGACATGGCTAAATCGACATAGAATTTTAAGCTGATCAAGAATAAATATACTCTGTGGGGTCTAAAATGCATATTTCGAGGTGTTACAAACGGAATGACAATCTTTATCCTCCATACTATGGTGGAGGTTATAAAAACGAGATTATTATGCCCTTCACAATTAAATTTACTGGAGCCTTCTACCAACGGCTTAATTAAGTGATACACATTGCATAATGTTTTTTTTTTTTTTAATTTTAAGTTCAACAAAAATTAATTTTTTAACACAATCCCTTCTACATCAGGAACATTTACTTGTTTGCGTCTACCCCAACTTTACCCCCCCCCCCCCACCCATTTGTTTTCCTTTTTTCAATATTTCTGCAGTTTGTGTTTCACCTAAACTTTTTTCTTTTCTTTGACAATTTCTTTTATTTTTAGGAATTTTCACCTAAACAATATACTGTGAGTAGTTCAAATGGGAAATCTCGCTAAACAATAGCTGAGAAAAAGGTTCTTTGCTTAGCCCCACAGACCTCAAGGGTCTAACAAAACACTGGCGTTTCTTAGGCTTTCTTTTTTGCATATGCGTTTGTTTTCGAATTACGAGATTGAAACCGGACTACTTTTTTATGCAACTTTTTCAAGATTGTTTTTTAGATTTGAGAATGAGTCCCAAATTTAATTCCCATTTGAGTTTCCCCTTCCGAAAATCATATTTTTTTTGCATGATTTTTTTTTGTTCTCCTTCTCTCAATGTATTTATATTTTAATAAAAAAGTATGTATTATTATAAAATATATTTTTTTGAATAGCAGCATCACTCTAAAGCAAGCACTTTTCACTTTGTGTACCCTTTATCCTCTCCCCCTTGTATGGCACATTAATCACTGGTTTCGAAATTGGTTTACAAGCACCTGTTTTAGAGCACACCTTAAATGTATCAACATTTGTTCACCAAAAAAACTTATTTCATTTTGTAGTTATGATTTTATTAATTTATTTTATTTAATATTAAATTATCATTATTATTTCTTTAAATTGAATTAAATTTGTTTTGCAAAATTCGTTAATGCCAAATGGGCGTATTTTTATGTTTTAACATTGTATTCGTCGTCTTCATGTGAATCATCTATCACAGTGGTTCTCCACCATCAACAATTCCGCACCACAATCGTTTCCAAATTGGGTATATCCAGAATATGAACATTGTCCCCTATTCGTTGTCATATCATTTCAAAGTTGCCATTTGACATTTGTTTTTTTTTTCTCATGGTATTGTTCTCTTTTTGCCAAGGGCCATAAAGATATTAACGTTTTGTATTGTTTCTGGTTTTTCTACAGAGTCGTGCCCCCATTTCGGCGAAATTGGTCGCAAATATGCTATCAGTGGCCGGAGCAGATCACATTATAACTATGGACTTGCATGCATCTCAAATTCAGGTAAGTTTTAAAAATATATAATAATTACTAAGATTCCGTCCTTTTTAGTCGTAAAAGCAGCACAAGAAATAATTTTTAATTTTAGAACAACAGAGTAGGCCAACAACCGATAGCGCAGAGTGTTCTAACATCAGGTTGGGTTTATCCTTATAAAAAGTTTAAATCAGAAAGAGGAAGTTTAGAAGAAATTTAGATGAGCTGTTTCCATAGCTAAACTTGCAAAGAAACCGTTGAATAAATCAATAAGTGAGGTTCTTGGTCCCATTGGGTGTCAACTTAAACTACTAAAGTAGTTTTCTGGGTAATTTTTTTTTCTAATCTATAAAATTTATAAATATATATATATTGCAGAATATATTATAATTCTGGTGTAATAATTTAATTTAATGAAAACAATTTCAGTAATTTTGCAATTTACATTTCCGCCTAAAAGTATGTTATACAGTTTATAAAAGATTAGTGAAATAACTAAAATAATTTTGCACGAGGGTTAGTCTTGGTGCGTAGGCATGTATTAAGGCTGGGTTTCTGGAAATTTTATTAAATGAAAGCAAAAAATGACGGAAATATCATCAAAATTTAGAATAATTTTAGATTACGGCCTTCAAGCGGCCAATGAAACCGTCGCACGCTTCCCGAATGTTGCTCTGCGGTATATTGGCCCATTCCCGGCGACACTTTGGTATTTTTTGGAGCCAACCGTGCTTTTCAAAATACTCCAGACACCATAGTCCAACGGATAGGTATCCGGAGATTTTGGTGGCCACAGTGTGCGTCAGAAATGAAGCGAGGAACCTCATTTTTTAACCATTCTTGGGTGGCGCGTGCTGAGGCCTGTTGGAATGTCCAAGGGCTGCGGCCAAAATGTTTGCGTGCCCAAGCCTTTAATACACCCTCCGGAATATTTTCGCAATAACATTCGGCATTTATTCTGATGCCACGGTCGATTAATACGAGCGGAGAGCGACCATCGGCTGTTAAATTAAACACGATCATACGGCGAAATTCGTAATTTCACCAATTTCGGCCAAGCGAAGCAACTCTAGCTCTTTTGAGCCTATTTTCTTACTGTTGCGGTGTAGTTCTTGGACTTTTTGGAATTCCCAAGCTCATTTTTCAATACTCACGAGTCATTTTTCAGCAACTGTGACGCGAGTTTCGATCAAGTCACTTCTTTACCATTTCTGCTGATGCTTGACGTCGGGCTACGCTACAAGTTAAACGGCAATAAGCGATGGTACGAGACACAAAAGATTTATTCAAATTTAAATGCTGGAGTGCTCTAACGATAGCCAATTGTGGTTTTCCAGGCAAATATAAAGAAATCACACTATCACGCCTGAATTCTATCACGAATAACTTTTTTTCTGGAAAATTCTCACCAAAATGCTTTTGTACGCTTGTAAATATTATAATGAGCTGTCACTGGAATAGTTTTAATAGTTGTCGGACGAGTGGCATAGAAAAGACAGCAGTCTAAAGTTGGTTGCAGTTTTTTTATCTCACCCTCTATTTTTTTATTTTTGTTGTTCGTATTGACTTTAAGTCAATTCATTTTGCTATAAATAAACAATTAGTTTTAATTGATAAATTGCGTTTGAAATTCGTTAATTATTTCATTTCGCTAAGTTACTGATGTTTTCATTGTCTTTATTGGGCGTTACAAATGTATTTGTTATTGTAATTTTCCCAACAAACAACAACAAACTAGACCAAATATGTAGTATTATCTTTTTGTTGTTGTTAAAAACCAGTAACGGTGGCGTTCGTTTTGAATGCTATTTACTCAACGCCAAAACTCCTTATCAATAAATCACAAAATAGACAAGGCTAATTCCTTGTTGTTGACCTTCTTTCGCAATAAAACAAAAAAAAAACAGAAACTCGAAATATATGTATGTGTTTTCGAGGGCACGAAGCTGTTGAGTCATATGCCAGGGTATTAGTGTTTTAAGTGATAGTGAAATGTTTTTAATTGAGTAATTGACGAAAAATGTAAATCGATGTTCCCATGTATAAGGAAAAAGTCTTTTTGTTCAAACAGCCAACTGATTATGAAAAATCAAGTGAAACTTAAAGAGACTTAGATGGCTTAATATGAGCTTTCTATGAGCGTTTTGTTTTTCAAAATCTTGAACCCTATGCTAAGGAGGTACCAGAAGAAATGGTCCGATCGCTACCAGATTTTGTGTTGTTGGAAATATTGAGATGAACCAACACTTAATGGAATCGGATGTTCATTTTCCGTTTTATGAGCCGCAAGGGTACTTAAAATTTTGACGCTTTGTGGGGGATGCACCAGAAGAAGTGGACCGATATATTCCATCTTCACTCTAGACCTTGGGTTAATAAGAATATTGTGATGAGTATAATTTGAAGAGAACCGGATGCTTATTTCGGATTTTATGATCGTTTTTGTTATTCTAAACTTTGGCCCTTTTGTGGTGGAGGTAGGTCCGATCTTTATAACAAATCTTGTGTTGATGGAAATATTGAGATGTACCAAGTCTGAATGGAAGCCGATGTATATATTTCGTGTTTTTGACCTTCATGAATATTCAAAATTTTGACCCTTTGTGGGGGATGTACAAGAAGAAGTGGACCGATATATTCCATTTTCACACAATTAATTAATAAAAAAATTATTGTGATGTGTGTAATTTGTAGACAATTGGACACTTACATCACTTTTTATAAGAGTTATTATAATTATTCAAACTGTTGACCCTATTAGTGGGAGGGGTACTTGATGGAGTGGACCGATATCGTCCATTTTCACACCTGATCTAGCACTGATGCAAATATTAGGATATTCTTTTTTTGTGGTAGCTACCCAAAAAATAAGAGAGAGAGAGAGAGCAATTTTGATCCCTAAAATATGAATTGTAAGATTTTCGGGGTCCTAACCTTAAAAGATCTATTAATGGTCATAGTTACATTTTATTTTAAGAAGCTTCCTCCAAAAATAAGTCACAAAGTTTCTGTCCAAAAGCTGGCTCGAAACCTATTTGGAAAAACATAATATATCCAGAGTCTCGTTTAATTTTTGTCTTGTATCTACACACCTAAAATGCAGAGATTATGAGGCAACCTAAGGGCACCTCAAGATTTTGGCTGTTTCTCTTTTCACATCCTCTTTCGAAATCAGTTATTCTTTTATTTTAAAGATATTTGTGTCAGTTTCGTTTATTCATTATTTATTGATGGAAGCGACCCCATTTGATGGATAATTTCCCTTGGTTCTGGTATAAGAGCTTCAAAAGAAACCCTAGCCCTTTGACATATATTATTTGGCAAACTATTTGGAATCTAAAAATGAAAAGAAAAGAATTATGTATTAAATGCTAAATATACATATGTATGCATATATATATGCATATTTATTAATATGTTTATTCAAATAGTTATGTTTTCCTCGGATCCATTCTCCTTGAAATTAGACCCAATAGAAACATTGTCATTTAATACAGGACCACTGTGCGAATGTTCCAAACGATTTACATGACTTAGCAAATTTCTCACCGACACTTTGGCCAACTGGGCGCACAATTCATCGATGCGTTCCGCTTTCAGTTGTATGACATTTTCCAAATGTGTTATTTTTTGTTGGGCTGCAGTTATGTAATTATCCTTGGCCTGGCATTGCTTGATGGCCTCCTCGTACAATGAATATAGAATCATTTTTTGTGGCACCTGTATGAGACCATCACCAATTCTTTTATTCACCGTTACTGTCATTATTTCATCATTTTCGGTCCAAATTTTTTCCTGTTCATTAATTTGATGATCTCCAGCTTTTTGTTGTTGTTGTTCACGATCTATTATCATTATGTCATACAATAAAGATTCAATTGCCCCCGGTATGGCTTTGGCAAACTTCTCCAGCATTTGTTTATTTTGTTGCAGGCCAATCTTGGATAGGACCTTAAGATTTAATGTTTCCCAATTGTTCACTTTTAATTGGGTGTTATTGCGTGGCGGATAGTTATGCAGTTCGACCAGTTTCGAATAGAATTTTTTTAATAAATTCGCCACGGGCAAACAATCGGAAAAGTCACGATGTAAATTTTTGTAAACAATTTCGTGGGATTGTAGCCAGTCCTTTAGCTCATGCAGCTGTTGTTCGTTGAGCTTTTTTGGCATATTGGTTAATTTTTTCTCCAAATCCTAATCTTGTTCAGAATATTCTCAATTTTTTGGTTTTGCTTTCAAAATATATAGTCAAATAAGAAAGTTGCTCTATTTTATGTTTGGAAATTAAATTCTATTTATTTGACAGCAGTTACATATGGTGACACAGGATGTATTAATTAATGAAGATTTGTTTACAAATCAGAACTTGCAATATAATACTATTGCACTTTTGCAGGTTCCGGAAGAATATGCTAGTTTTGATTTTTTTAAATCACAAAAGAAAAGTCGATTACCGTAGTAAAAACTGATTTCATTAATTGCTCCTGATTTCATTAATTTCGAAGTTCTTGACCAGATTTTGCTGGTGTTTTTTTTATCGTTTCGACAGAAGGTAATTAATATTAGTATTTAATTGCGTATATATGAAGCGTGACATATATTGGTGGAGTTGTTACTTCAAGACAGAAAAGCAAAATTCAAAAATAGTCTTTAACTCCCAAATTAATTTTTAATTTTATGGCCCTGTGCATTCTAACGAAGAAACCCAGATACTAATTTTCAGCCAATTACTAACCTATGATCTCTTCTATTCTAGGGTTTCTTTGATATTCCCGTGGACAATCTTTATGCTGAACCAGCTGTTCTGAAATGGATCAAGGAGAACATTACAGAATGGAAGAACTCGATTATTGTCTCACCCGATGCTGGTGGTGCTAAACGGTAAGATATGAGTTCGTAAACATTAATGAATTTTGATAGACATTCCCCTATTAGTTACTATTATTAACCCATTTTTCTTCAATATTTTTTAGTGTGACGTCCATTGCTGATCGTTTGAATGTTGAATTCGCTTTGATTCACAAAGAACGCAAGAAGGCCAATGAAGTCGCTTCTATGGTACTTGTCGGTGATGTTAAAGATAAAATTGCCATATTGGTCGATGATATGGCCGATACATGCGGTACAATTGTACATGCTGCCGATCGTTTGGTGGAAGCAGGTGCTACAAAGGTATGTATTCTAGTGAAATAATTACTAAATTGATTCGACTGATATTAACTCTACCCTTTTCATAAACTTTTTCAGGTTTATGCTATTTTGACACATGGTATCTTTTCGGGACCGGCAATATCCCGCATAAACAATGCCTGCTTTGAGGCTGTGGTTGTTACAAATACAATTCCTCAGGATGGTCATATGAGAGATTGTCCCAAAATACAGGTTCGTTATTATTGTTTTATAATAAATTTTAATATCAATTATTTAACAAATTCTTTCGTTTCTATTTTTGCAGTGCATTGATGTCTCAATGATGTTTGCCGAAGCCGTTAGAAGAACACACAACGGCGAAAGTGTTTCTTATCTCTTCTCAAATGTTCCATATTAAGAAAAATCATTTATTTTTTTAAATTTGTTTAATTTTTTTAAATGATTATATTTTTTATTTTAATCACCATATTTTATATATAAATACTTCAATATTTTTTTGTTCATACTATCTTTCGTACAATCTGATTTTTTTCTTAACACAATATTTTTTTTAAAGGATAACAAACTAAATTTTTGGTCTACCATTTGCCATTGTCGTTAGACGATTATGTATTTTTTATTTGAAATATTTTTAATTATAAAAAATATGATTTTTTATTAAATGAAAAAAATCTTTATTTTCTGCCTTTTTATTGTTGACACTAAAAAAAACAAAATAAAACTGTAGGGATATTTTACTATATAAAAAAGTAATCATGTTCTAAAATTTATTTAGTCAAAGACAAATATCTACACAACATTCATTATAGAATCATGCATTAATTCTTTCATCCTCCAAATGTGTAATTGTTGTCACTATTTTTTTTTTTTGTTTATTTAAATCAGAGCACATTTTATGAATCGATATTTATATACACTAAATATACACAGCATAAAAACAGAAATGAACCAGACATTTATGCAAAATTTTGAAAATATTTTTTTATAAATATTTATATTTGTAATGACAAAAACAAAAACTCTTACCTATACATAAAACACACACATCCATAGATATTTGTAGCAGCTAATTCCGTGAAATCTTTATTGTCTAAATGTAAGAAACCCTACTTATAAAGAAATGAAAGAAAATCTAACATTGAAAGATTGCCCTACATTAATGTACCAGCAGATAAAGAAACAATTAAATATCCATAATATTTGTTATAGTTAAGACTTCATTATTAACGCCTAGATCAAGTGAAAGCAACTCTATGAAAATACCATTGGAAATAAACACAAATAGTTAAAATAATGAAATGATAAGAAAAGAAAAGAAATGAAAACAAGTATGAAATAAAAAAGAACAACTGAAATAATATAAGTAAGAATAAAACAATAATAAAACACTGATATAAAATTATATGTATTATTTATTTAAATTTATGAATGGTTTATGACATGGAACATTCTGAAGTTTTGATTTGTGGGGAATTAAATTTTATGTTACAATGCCACTGATTTTTTGCGATCACATTAAAATAGTAAAATCATTCACAAGTGAGAAAATGTGCCTCATGTATTTTCCTATTCAAATAAATAAAAAATTCCATTTTTCCCGAAGTGACCATAGTGACCGAACTATGCTTTTTCAATTCTTTATCTGAGCATTTTTCGCATCATTCATACATATGTTTAAATATTAATTATCCACTATTCAGTCATACGTATTTGGTACCGTTTTGAAAGTTTACATCGCAACGTAACCTAAATAGAGGAGGAAAGTTCCCCTCTTTCTGCATTTTTTTGAAATTTTCGTTTTAAGATTCATTGGAATACAGTGTCTTCGACAATATTATAGATAACAATGCAGTGATTATTTTGGTTAAAATGGTTTACCGTCAAGCTCGTCACAAAACGGGGAGATTTTGCTCCTTTTTTTATACCCTCCACCTTGGAAAGGAGGGTATATTAACTTTGTCATTCCGTTTGTAACATCCCTAAATATTCGTTTTAGACCCCATAAAGTATATATATTCATAATCAGCATAAAATTCTAAGGCGATTTAACGATGTCCGTCTGTCTGTCTGTCTGTCTGTTGAAATCGCGATACAGCCCACATTATTTGACGTAGAGCTCCAAAATTTAGCAGAGCTATTTGCATTGTGTCTAGGATGGTTGGTATTGAAAATGAGATATATCGGTCCACGTTCTGGTATAGTCCCCATATAACGGTACCTCCCGATATTCGGTATTTTGATGATTTATGCCACATTTTTTCACGGATTTGTCTTACAATTGGTATTTGTAGGTCATAGCGGGTCCCTGAGCGTGTGGCAAAACATTGCATGTATAGGTCCACGTTGTGGTATAGCCCCCATATAAAGGTACCTCCCGATATTTAGTATTTTAGTTTTTTTTACCACATTTTTTCACGGATTTGTCTGAAAATCGGTATTTGTTGGTCATAATGGGTTCCAGCTCCGGTGGCGAAACATTGTAATTATAGGTCCACGTTTTGGTATAGCCCCCATATAACGGTACCTCCCGATATTCGGTAATTTGATGATTTTTGCCACATTTTCAAAGGGATTTGTTCGAAAATTGGTATTTGTTGGTCATAATTGGTTCCAGCTTCGGTGGCGAAACATTGCATGCATGGGTCCATGATTTGATATAGCCCCCATATAACGGTACCTCCCGATATTCGGTATTTTGATGGTTTTTGCCACATTTTTTCACTGATTTGTCTAAAAATTGGTATTTGTGGGTCATAATGGGTTCCAGCTCCGGTGGCGAAACATTGTAATTATAGGTCCACGTTTTGGTATAGCCCCCATATAACGGTACCTCCCCATAATCGGCATTTTAATGGTTTTTGCCACATTTCTTCTAATGTTTCTTTTACCCTAAGGTGGAGGGTATTAAAAGTTTGACCCGGCCGAACTTAATGTTTTTTTACTTGTTTAAATTAAAGAAGAAACTCCCTTTAATCGAAATCGTAGTAAGTGAAAATATTCGACAAAATTAGTTGTCAATAAATTCTACAATTATAGATTCTTAAAAAACATCAAGGTCTAACCCTTACCTAAACGCCACGAATTCAGAAATATTGAGAACACAATTTAGGGTTAAATTCGTACTTCTTGCTTATGCAAAATTCTCCTAGTAGTAGCGTTTCTACTTAATATGAATTCAAAATATCAAAGTTTGGCAAATTAAATGGGAAATATATTGAGACTATACCAAAAATTGGACAGATATGACAAATTATGTAAACCAATGGTTCTTGAAATAATCGAAGGCGCTCTATATTTTTTTAAAGCTATAAAGCGAAATGTGTCTACAAAATTTTTATTATTGTATATGAACAAGTAAGGCTGGGAACATAAGAAGCTTGAAGTCATGGCTAGGCATGGATCGATTTTGTCCATTTTCGCACGTGACTTAGCACTGATGCAAATATTAGGATTTGCAAAATTGGAGCAAAATCGGATTTTTCTTTCTTTTTCTGCGCAGTAAATTATTTTCTTTGAAAATGTCGACATTTTGAGTGGGAGGTACCAGAGGGAGTGAACCGATATTGCCCATCTCCGAACCCGATCTAAGTTATACAATAATATTACGATGTACCAAGTTGGAATCAAATCGAATACTCCCTTCAAGAGTTATCGTGCGCACCAGCCAGCCAAACAGACATACAGACGGACGGACATCGCTAGATCGACTCCAAATGTCCTGAAACGGTTTTGGTCCAAAGAGCCTAGGGTCTAAATTCGTTATTTCGACTAGGCACGTTTTGACCGTATCAAATGATATATACCCCCTCTAGCCATATTGCTGAGGGTATAAACATGGTTTTTGAAGCCACTTGGAATTCTCACACTCTGACTAAAAAAAACTATTATGCCTAGATAAATAAAACTGTAGTGTAATAATCTGCTAAGAATCAACGCCCAGACGAAACGGCTGACGCTAGAATCTTAAAATATTGCATGAAGGTCAGTGTTGGTGTTTATGTAAGCAGGCTTGATTTTTGGAAATTCGTACCAAAAGGTTACGAAAAGTACTAAAATGTACTAAAAATTGAATACTTTGTATTGGACAAATGGAATGAGGTATTTGGAACGTGATGTATTGATGGATTGCAGGGTAGATGTATCAAAGGGTTTTAGCGAATTCGAACTTTAAGGTTACGAAAAGTTCTAAAATGGTACTAAACTCCTACATCGATGCCACTTGGCAGCCACTTGGAACTAACTAAATTGAAATTTGGTATAAGAATCACTACAAGTGTACAAGGTATTAAATAGTACTATATTTGGTACAATTTGGTATTGAGTGAATAGATAGTGATTGAAAACTGGAATTTAGTATTATGGTCGCTATTCATGTGCAGTCTGGAGGTGGTTTTGGAAATGCCTCCTATATTTCTACGAAAAGTACTAAATTTTGTATTGGATGAAAGTATAGGGCCGAAATCTTCAAATTTACGAAATCCTCGTTAAACTTTATTTAAAGATTTTTATACAAATTAAAGACTTTTATACCCAATGTTAATTTAAAATAATAACAGCATTCGTTTCTTTGATCAAAATACGATTTTATTCAATCATGTTCTTTTTATTTTTTCTATATTTTTCAACAAATTTTAACAGTTTTTAAAGTAATTTATTCCCTACTCAAAACTCAATAATTTCTTAAATTTATTTAATCTTTCGTGAAGCCCCTAATTTGAATGGAATTGAATAATTATTTTTTGTTGTTAAAAAAATTATGGAAAATAACTAAAATGCATAACATTATTTGTAATAATAGTTAGGATAATACAAGGACATTTCGATAGCATGCTTGTCCGTCAGCAGGTGTATTCAAAACTGATTAATATTCGTAATCATTACCCTCACCGCCCTGTTCGGCATCGTCTGTACCGACTTCTTCGAAATCGCGTTCTAATGCCGCCAAATCTTCTCTTGCCTCGGTGAATTCACCCTCCTCCATACCCTCGCCCACATACCAGTGGACAAAGGCACGTTTCTTGAACATTAAATCGAATTTATAGCAGAGGTTACTAAAGGCCACAGCAATGGCTGTGGTATTCGACAGCATGCAAACAGCTCGGTTCGTTGGGGCCAAATCTCCGTCGGGCACAAAGGCGGGTTTCTCGTAATTAATGCCAATCTTAAAGCCCGTAGGACACCAGTCTACAAATTGAATGTGTCGTTTCGACTTAATCGCGGAGACGGCAGCATTCACATCTTTGGGTACAACATCTCCACGATACAGCATACAACAGGCCATGTATTTGCCGGCTCGAGGATCACATTTCACCATCATGTTGCCGGACTCGAAACAGGCATTCGTCAGCGATGTTATGGCATGTTGTTCATGCGAAGCTCTCGAGGCTGACATCAACGGTGCATAGGCCACCAATGGGAAATGTATACGGGGGAAGGGCACCAAATTCGTTTGGAATTCATTCAGATCCACATTCATGGAACCGCTAAAACGCAACGAGGCCGTCGTAGAGCTGACAATTTGGGCTATCAGACGATTTAAATTTCGATAGTCTGGACGATCTACATTCAAACTATTTTTACAGATTTCATAGATGGCTTCATTGTCGACCATAAATACACAATCGGAATGTTCCAGGGTTGAGTGTGTGGTCAGCAAGGCATTGTAGGGCTCTACAACAGCTGTGGACACCTTGGGCGATGGATAGACAGCAAAGTCTAATTTACATTTCTTGCTAAACTCCATGGACAGCCTTTCCATAAGCAATGAAGTAAAACCGGAACCTGTTCCCCCACCCAAACTGTGGAATATCAAAAAACCTTGCAGGCCATCACACTGTTCGGCTATCTTTTGAATACGTGTAGTGACATTATCGATCACTTCCTTGCCAATCGAATAGTGACCACGGGCATAGTTATTAGCTGCATCCTCTTTGCCCGAAATCAATTGCTCCGGATGATATAGGCCACGCATCGGGCCATTGCGTACATCATCGATAACAGTCGGCTCCAGATCTACAAATATCGACCGAGGTACTTGTTTGCCCGACCCAGTTTCTGAGAAAAAGGTTCGAGCATCATTGGTGCAATTCGATTGTCCCTCGGATCCAACCACACCAGCTGAACAGCCACTGGCTAGCATTTCTTCTTTGGTTTTGGCTGTACCATCACGATTGATACCATGCTCCAGCAGGTACAGTTCCCAACAGGCATTACCGATTTGAATGCCACCCTGACCAATTTGAATGGAAATTACCTCACGCTAGAAAGAGAAGTAAAAGAAAGAAATTGAAAGTAAAATATTAAAACCACATCTATTTAATTTAATAAAATTTAAAATACTTTATACTCTATTATTCATAACATCATTTATATATAAATGTAACAACCGATTCTTTTAGGCGATGGAAAACTCCTTTAAGCGACGAAATCCCTTGGTGGGGATAGCAAGAACCACGAAGAACAGATTCGCCGTGATTCGAAATTTTGATGCATGACGTAATAATTTTTATACCCTCAGCCATATGGCTAGAGAGGGTATATATCATTTGATACGGCCAAAACGTGCTACATCGAAATAACGTCTTGAGACCCTAGGACTCTTTGGACCAAATCCGTTTCAGAACATTTGGGTCGATCTAGCGATGCCTGGCTGGCTGGTGCGCACGATAACTCTCGAAGAGAACATCCGTTTCGATCCAAACATGGTGTATCGTATCCACTCCTTCCGGTACCTCCCCCACAAAAGGTCAACATTTTCAAAGAAAATAATAGAGAAATAGAGAAGGGATAATCCGATTTTGCTCCAACGTTGCAAAGCCTAATATTTACATCAGTGCTAGGCCAGCTGCAAAAATTAGCAATATCGTACCACTCCATTAAGTACCTACCCCACAAAGGGTCAAAATTTTGAATAATTATAACCCTTATAACATGTAAGAGTCCGATAGTCTTTTTTACACACATCTAAATAGTTTTGCTAACGCAAGATCTTTTGTGAAGATGATAACTGCGAACCCCTTCTGGTACCTTACCCACAAAAGGGTCACAATTTCCAATATTTATGTCATAACTTGCCAAAAAAAAATCGGCGATTCATTAAAACTGTTTATGTCTAAATATATTTCTCTTAACCAGGAATATATAATTTATCGGAATTTAATTTTGATTCGGTCCGCCATATCCTATGGACCTATATAGCCCTTCATTCGTTTTGACTCTAAAGTGATAACAACAGACGAACACGCAGAACACACAGACAGGGCTAAATCGTGTTAGACTTTTACGCTGATCAAAAATATATACAGTTTATAGGGTCTAAGATGATTATTTCAAGGTACAAACGGAATGACAAACTTAACTCGTGTAAAGCTTCGCACAGTGGGGTGAGATCTCCGCAGATTAATTCAGGGAAGCATTACATCGCTCTGAAACTTTGCTCAGACATTTATATTATCCCGAATTTGTTTGGCATTAAACATTGGACATATCGGTCCACGTTTCGCACATTTCACAATTTTAAACCAAATCATGTATAACTTTACATTTCGTGTTCTGAATAGGTATAATCAAATCCAACCATGGGTAATTGTTCTGAGTTCTGAGCAGACAAAATCTCTTCCTTCTAAATTCTGTGAAGATTAATCTACTATTAAGTACTTGCCATATATAACGGTACTTCCAATTTTTAGGTATTTGGAGAGTCTCTCCCTGCAAAATGTTTGTGAAGGTAAGTCCATTTATATAGCGCCGACATAATGGTATTTTCTAATTTTAGGTATTTTGAGGGCGTCCGACAGAGCATTTTACAAACTTATTATTTTCTATTTTGTGGATAAAAATTAATAATAGGATAAAACATTATTTTTGAAGATGCTTGCAAAATATTTATGGGTACTCTACACCACATAGTGGTAAGGATATTATGTCTTAGTGCATTTTATTATAACATGAAGAAGGAAGCGAGATAGACCCATAGTTCCTTTTGATGATCGGCATAGAATCACATTCTGAGTCGATTTATGCATGTTCGTCCGTCCGTCCGTCTGTCCATGTATTTTTGTAAACAATGCGACCTGTACGCATTTATTGCCCGATCGAGATGATATTTTGCACAAATAATTTATTTGGCCCAAGGACAACCCCATTGAAATTCAATCGGAAATTTAGATATGGCTCCCATATATATCTTCAACCGATTTCGGGTTAATTGTGCACCAAATGCTCAATATCAGTCCAAATGGCTTGAATTTTGGCATATCTGACCGAATTCAGTCTAGAAGCTAGTACATCAAATTTCAGATTTAGCTATATCATAAATGTTTCGTCCGATTTGGGGCTTTAGGTTCCTCACATGCGTAATATGCACTCCACAACAATGATCTTTGGTACCAGACATCACATACAGCATCAGAAAAAGTGCCTAAAATTTTGTCAAGATTGGTTTAGATTTGGATATTGCTCCCATACATATCCGATTTCAGGATTATTGTACACCAAATGACTAATATTAGCCCAAATGACTAATTTCAGCACACCCGACCGAATTCAGCCTAGAAACAATTACTTCAAATTTGGTGAAAATCGGTGCAGATATCATCCGATTTGGCGTTAAAGTCCCTTACATGCGTAATATGCACTCAAGAACAATGATGTTAAATACCGGACATCAGATACAGCTCGAAAATACCTCTATCGACATCGGCTAAGATTTGGCTACATGTCCTTAATCCGATTTCAGGTTTACTGTGCAAATAATGGCTAACATCAGCCCAAATGGGACGTACGTTTCCGGCTCGGCTCAGATATATATCCTTCTCGAAGTGATATTATGCACTTTAGCAATGCTATTTGGCATAAAATATAAAAATATCTGTGGCAAATTTTGTGAAAATCGATCCAGAATTGGATATGCCTCCCATATATAAGTTCCCTCTGAAACCAAACTACAACTGATCTAAAGCCAAATGTTGATAGGTGGTGTGATCGACTTCAAATATTTTTTACGGGAGTTCTATTAGACATGGCCCGCTCGAATTTTGACTTTTCTTTACTGGTTTTACACATATTGAAGAACTACTAAGATTATACGTGAGATCACTTTCTATTTCCCATTATATTGGAAATATATAAATATATGATTAATTAGCTATTTTTAAAAATATAGACAAAATGGTGAAGCTGAATTAATTTACGGATCAATTACAAGATGTTGTTATTCACATGCCTACATATAACTGTGATGTTATGCACCCTAAAGAGAAATCAGAGCAATGTCTTTTGCATGTACTAAAAATAGATAGTAAGTACTAATAATTTTATAGGGTTGCATAGTTATGATGCATCACATATTTTCGACTAAAAAATCTTTACAAAGGGAAACATTAAAAATACTGCATAAATATTTATACTGTATGACACCGGTTTTTTTTATAAAAACAAATAAACAATATAGTTCATTGTTCTATATTGATGCATTCATTATTGTTAGCATTCGTTAAATGCAAAAAAGAATTGCAGCCGGCCACAAATGCTTGTGGCTTAAATGCATATTTAAATTTAAAACTTGTTTTTTCCCACTTTATCTTTTATCAATACATTCGTTTCAATACACGAAACAAATAAGCATGAGGAGAATTTATTTATTCTTCAGGTTATGAATTTAATTCACTGTTTATCTTTATTTTGTGTTTTCTTCTTTTTTTAAATAACTAGATTATAACCTCAAAAGTCCTTTGTTCATCAGTATTGCATTCCAAAGCATGAACATGAATTTCGATTCGCACTTACGCACATTACTTACCATGATTTATTAATTTGTTATTTCCAAATTCCTTTGCAAATATTGTTTATAAAATCGTAGGATTTCCAAAGGACTCCTCAAATTCACTTAATCGGTTTTAATTAATTATTTTTTATGCCAGGATAATTTCCGCACGTTGACTTTGGTCTAAATAAAAATCCTTTTTGCGAATTGTAGGGAAAAAAGAAGAAAAGGGATGTAAAGAATTTGCAAAGACTGTGTCGTGTGTCTTCGTATGTAGATCAGCACCGAACAGCAGGCAGCAATGGTGGTTGGTTGACGGCTCGACAATGACAACTGCAGACGACTGTGCGCGCAATATTTGTTGGCATGAATCGACGAAAGGTTTAGTACTTCTTGTTTGCCTCTTTCCTTTCTTTAAACATTATTGTTTTTGTATTTCTTCGGGGAGTACTAAAAAGTCCTGTTACATTCGAATGCTGCTTCTGCATTGTGGTGGTTGTTTGCTCCCCACTCGTAGTATATTCTGTTACAATTTCGCGCCATAAAAATGCAATTGTCAAAAATAATGTTGCCAGCCATACATTTTGATTTCTTCTAAATTTATTTTTTATGAAAATTGAATAATTACAAGTATGCAATTTAAATTAACTTGTAATACATTGGAGTGATTTGTGCAATTAAAAATAATTTATTATAGAGGTTGTTTTTCTATTTAATTTTTATGTTATTTAACTATTTATAAATGTACCTCGTTTATATATATAAAAACTTAAATAAGAGATACTGAAAATATTGACAATATTTATTGTATAGGTAGTTCTTCGTGGTTCAACAACTAACTAGGGATTTCTTCTCATTAAGGAGACGGCCTATTAATGTTGCTGATAATCAGGCAATATTCAGTTTCCTTTTCTATTCTTTGGCGAATATCTCGTTTGGTGCACAATAAAAGGCAAATCGGACGAAGAGCTATTATCTAAATGTTGACCAATTATTTCCAATTTCAGTAGCGTTCGTTCTTGGGTAAAAAAAAATGATTTGTGCAAAATTCTGGATCGGGCAATAAATGCGACCTGTACTTTTTTTACAAAAAAGTGGACAGACAAACGGACGAACATGCATAAATCGACTCAGAATGTGATTCTATGCGGATCATCAAAAGGAACTATGGGTCTATCTCGTTTCCTTTTGCCTGTTACAAGCAAATGCATAAAGACATAATACCCTTAATACTAAGTGGTGTAGAATATAAACAGTAAGTTCGGCCGGGCAGATCTTTGAATGCAGTTGGAAGGAATTTACAATTTCCAAAAAAAGAAAAACGTTAAAGCATACTTTTAAAAGACATCAAAATAACGAATATAGGGAGGTACCGATATATATTGGGTATTCGAACACCTGGACCTGCATATGCAATTTTTCGTTACGGGCTGTAGTACCTATTATAAACTACAAATTCGATATTTGAAACAATTCCGGCAAAAATATAACTGAAATCATCAAAATACCGTTATATGGGGCTATATGAAAACGTGAACCTGCATACTCAATTTTATGTCACAGGCTGTAGTACCTATTATGAAGTTCAAATACGAAATTTGAAACAATTCCGATGAATAATATCTCAAAAGTAATTCAAATACCGAATATAGGGAGATACCGTTATATAGGGGCTATAGGAAGACGGCATAGTCAATTTTCAATAGTACCCATAACAAACTTCAAATACGAAATACGCCAAAAACATCAAAATACCGAATATCGAAAGGTACAGTTATATGGGGCTCTACCAAAACGTGGACCTATATAGCCCATTTTGAATACCAAACGTCCTACAGATCAAACACACATTTGAGTAAAATTTTATCAAAATACTTCAATTCGTTCAGAAGTTAGAGTGATTCCCACAGACAGACAAATCGACATAGAATTTTATGCTGATCGAGATTATACATATTTTGAGGAGTCTAAAATGTATATTTCGAGGTATTACAAACGGAATGACAAACTTAATATTGGAGGGTATTAAAAAGTAAGGTAGAGCTACCAGCTGATTGCAATTTTTATACCCTCCACCTTGAATAGGAGGGTATATTAGCATTGTCATTTCCTTTATAACATCCCTAAATATTTGTCGTAGACCCCATAAAGTATATATATTCATAATCACCATACAATTCTAAATCGATTTAAGCATGTCCGTTGGAATCACGATACAGCCCACATTCGAAATTTGGCAATTTGTGTTGTGTCTAGAATGGTTAGTATTGAAAATGAGATATATCGGTCCACGTCTTGATATAGACGTCATACAACAGTACCTCCCGATATTCGGTATGTTGATGATTTTCTACACATTTTTTCACCGATTTGTCTAAAAATTGATATTTATAGGTCATAATGGGTTCTATCTCCGGTGGCGAAACATTGAATGTATAAGTCCACGTTTTTGCATAGCTCCCATATAACAGTACCTACCGATATTCTGTATTTTAATGATTTTGGCATTTGTAGTTCATAATGGGTTCTAGCTCCGGTGGCAGAACATTGAATATTTCCGTATACGTTTTCCTATAGCGCATATATAACGATACCCACCGATATTCAGGATTTTGATAATCCTAGTCACATTTACCACTAAATTGTTTCAAATTTGGTATTTAAGAAGATTTGATAGATGACAATTCTTAAAGTATAAAATTGTCTATAGAGGTACCCGTTTTGGAATGGCTGCCATATAACGGCCTCACCCACTTTATGGTTTTTTGAAAAGTTTAACAGCATAATCCAAACGGTCTTACTCGTATTTGTAGTTTAAAGTAGAACACGTTTGAATTCGGATACTTTTATATGAAAATGTTTCTTTACCCAAACTTGGAGGGTATTAAAAGTACGGTCTGGTCGAACTTAATGTTTTTTTACTTGTTTTCTAAGTGTGTCTGACTTCTACTAATTTGGTCTGTTCCAGAACCTGCAAGATACTACCAGTTTGGAATTTTTTTTCGATATCATAAAGGGAAAATCGGTTTTCATAGTAAAAAGCCTTTTACATCTTTGTAGTTCTGGAACAGACCATTTGTGTTCGTATTTATTGTTTATAAAATAAAAACAAAAAAATTTAACATCAATTTAAGATTGATTTGCTATTAAACCCAGTCGTTTTTCGCGCTATTTATCTCATTTAAAAATGAGGAAATCTATCAGAAAATGAGAACAACTTTGAATAATTCTGGCTGGAAGCGGGTGTAGCCTCAAGGCTGTATTTAACAGATATACGAATCGGTTCTATCTCCTTATTTTACCATGAATTTAAACTTTATTTTAAATACGACATAATTATTACTTAATTAAATGAAACTCTTAAAATGTAATTTGTTTTTATCCGTTATTTTAAATATGGAAAATGTTATAAAACTTGCTTAACCAAATCAATTGATTTACCCAATCATTAAATAAAAAATAATACAAAATATATTTTATAATGAAACGTTTTAATTTATGATGCGATGGGGCATTGCAAGAGAATATACAAAATCAAAGCTCCATTTGAGAAAAGGCCTTGGTAGTGATTGATTAAAGGTTGTAAGTGTAAGGCCTTTTTTGAGCAATGTAACGCGTCCATAAAGACTGACTTATTACACTGGTTTCTAAAATAATACTTTTTGGCTTCTAAGTATAGAATGGGAGCGAGAGATTACAAACAAATTAAAACGAAATACAAAAAAAAAAAAACAATTTTGCAAACACTATTAATTTCAACCATAAAAACTAAATAAATAATTACAGATTTTTAATAATTATTCTGTTAAAAATATAAATCTACAATTAATAAACTTGTTTCTGTTTTTAATTTCCTCTTCCTTTCTGATAGGTTTCTTGTAAATTTTATTTTAAAGAAATTGACCTTGTAAACAGTACTTGGGAAACCTCAGCACTAAAATAAAAGAAAACAGTATCATCTTTTCGAAATTATTGTTAGTAAAACTTACAGACAAAATTAATTTTTTTCTAGTTCCCCATTCCTGTACTTTCTGTCCAAAGCGGTTCTCACGATTAACCCGAAATCGGTTGAAGATATACATGGGAGCTATATCCAAATCTAAACCGATCTTCATAAAATTTGGCAGAGGTATTTTTGGGCTGTATCTGATATCTAGTACCAAATATTATATTTGTCGAATGTATATTACGAATGCGAGGGACCTAAACACCAAATCGGATGAAACATATATATGGGAGCGAATATAGGGGAGCTCTATCCAAATTTGAACCGATCTTGACAAAATTTGATACACTTATTTCAGAGCTGTATCTGACATCTGGTACCAATGATAATTGTTGTGGAGTGCATATTACACGTGTGAGGGACTTTAAACCCCAAGTCGGCTAAAACATATATATATGGGAGCTATAGCTATATCTGAACCGATTTTAAACCACATGTGAAATACTGGTTTCTAAGATGAATTCAGTAGTAATTGCCAAAATTCAGTCCATTTGGGCTGATACTAACCATTTGGTGCACAATAAACCTGATATCGGATGAAGATATATATGGGAGCTATATCCAAATCTGAACCGATCTCGATAAAATTTGACAAAGGTATTTCTTAACTGTATTTCATATATTTCCCTGAATATCGTTGTTACGGAGTGTATATTTCGGCTGTGGGTAACAAATATAACAAATCGGATGAACAATATATATGGGAGCTATAGCTATATCTGAACCGATCTTCACCAAATTTGACATACTAGTTTCTAGACTCAATTCGGTCGTAAGTGCCAAATTTCATCCCATTTGGGCAAATATTAGATGTTTGGTGCACAATATAACGATTATCTCCAATTTAAATAGGGTTCGTCCTTGGGTCAAACAAATTATTTGTGCAAAATTTCATTGTATCGGCAAAAAATGCGACCTGTACTTTGTTTACAAAAATAAATGGGCAGACGGACGAACGGATAGACATACATAAATCGACTCAGAAAGTGATTCTATGAATATCCCCAAAAGTAACTATGGGTCTATCTCGTTTCCTCTTGCCTGTTACAAACAAATGCACAAAAACATAATACCCTGACGACCTTGTGGTATAGGGTATAATGAAAGTCCAAAACATGCGTCTAAAAACAATTTCGTTGAATTTTTCAAATGGTACTGCATTTCTCTTTAGAATTTATTTTATTATTACTACACCTCTTTTAAAATTTCTTCAACCTTCAAAATTGTCCTAATTCCTGTTCATTCAAAATCTTATCATGCAGTAGTAATTTTTGTGATAATTTTTCTGACTACATTCAAAATCGATAAGTAAATTTTGATAACAATCGAAAAAACAATGTAAACCAATTATAGTGTTAAAAAAAAGTTTATTAAGTGTTAAACAAAAAAAAAAAAAAAAAAAATAAAATCATATGTATAAAATCGTGTATAAAAAATCAAAATTTTGGCAATAATATCTACATAGGTAAACTTATTAATAAAAAATTGTATATACAAAAAATATATACACAATTAAAAATAAAATAATAAAACATATATAACAACTGAACTAGAAAACACACATTTTGTTCGAGTAAATTAGCTAAGTGTATAATAATATCTCGTCCCAACTCTCGCTCCCATTGTTTTACTCCCACTAACTTACTTCTATTCATCTTTACGCATACCAGATGGCAGCGTGACATCAAAAACAATTGGTGGATTATTGGGTAAATAGTTGATATCGCATGTTGAGGCATTAACATAAATTACACGTCCATCTGAGGTAATACCATAACCCTCATGTATATGACCGAAGACATGATATTTTGGCTTCACTCGTTTCTGTATGGTTGTCAGTAATTCAACACATCCGGCCCGTACACCCGAACAGCATAGATCACCATGGCCAACAGGTGGAGTGTGTGTTATAAGAATATCAATATCAGCAGGTATTTTATTCCATTTTTCAAGACATGGCAGACCACGGGGCACATTAAAAGCCCATTTACAAAATTCCGGTTGCCATGGACTACCATAGATGCGTATGCCCCATATCTCCAGTAATTCGTCTTCTATGTAGGTACAGTTTGTAAGGACTTCGCGAATATTTGGCGTTTGTACAGCATCAGCAATGTTTTCTTTGGTATTGCCCAAGGTAGGCAAGTCATCGAGTATCGACATGCCTGTATGTTTGGTTCTGCAAAATAAAAACGATATGCAATTTAATAGAGGTAGTTGTGGGTAACCGCAAATTCTATTTAACAAATTGATTACACATTTCCCATGACAAAGAACAGTTATTTAATTAAAACAAATACCCCTTCAGTTACCTCTCTGAATTGTTCTTATTTTGAAAAGGATGAGTAAATGACGCATCAAAACTCAGCTCATGATTTCCTGCAATCACAATTTTATGTTTATGCGGTAGTGTGCCAATCCATTGATTAAATTCCACCACCTCATCTATGTGGCCACACTTGGTAAAGTCGCCAGCATGAATGAAAATATCACCATCAGGAATATCAAATTTCATATAGGGCGTCAGGGAATGTGTATCGCTCATACACACGACGCGTGCTTTATTAAAGGCCACACCAGTCTGCGGGGGTTTCATGGTGACTTTTATGACACGTTGAGTTTTGGAAATTTCCTTCCATGCCATGGTGGGATTGTGGGTGAGAGGATGAACGGATATATCCATGTTGATGCTGAAAATAGAAAACAAAAGAAACCTAATATGCAATCCTGGCAGGCACAAAATTATGTAAACAAACCCTTGCTTTATCCTGTTTTGTTTTCTTCCTTTAATTTGCCAATTCGATTCACGGAGCAATTATTTCGAAATATTCGTCAACTTGTATGACGCAGCCACAAACTCTTTGGATTAATTGTTTACTAATTGTTTTTAGTATATCGTTTAAGATTCGAATTGATTAGATTATTGAAAAATGTGTTTTTATAGAAAAAAATTGCAAATTATTGAATGAATGACGTAGTCGTTGTTATCGATAATTGCTAAAAACCAACGTAAACGTATTGTGGTATGACTTCTTAATGGCATGTTTACACTGGATCCATCTTACAGTTACGACAGCAAAGCAATATGTTTCCATGGAAATTTTCGCTACTCGTAGGAACATTTGGCCTGTTCCAGAACTGCATTAAAGTAACAGTTTTTACTACGATAACCGATTTTCCCTTTATGATTCAGAGAAAATTGCAAAACTAGTAAATCTAATCTAATTTACAGTATGTTTATATATATGAGGGTTAACCCACTGGATTTGGATTTAAATTGTCATTTTCATTACTTTTACTTCCAATAAGTCCTCTCAAAGTAGGTTAACCCTACAAAAAGTTCTAACGTAAACAAGAATTTAATAGTTTATGCAATAAAATTGTATGATTTCATGCATTATTCAAATTTCTGGCATTTTTAGATAAAAAATAAAGCCAAATATATGCAAATTAGATATTAAATTACAATAAAAATTAAAAACTTTTATAATATTCAGGTGTCACATGATTCTTAAGCAAATCACATTTTTCGACGTTCGTCAAATAACGGTACTTTAACTTTTTTAATAAAACTCCACCTTTTAAATTTTCTGTTTATTTTTTACACGACAATACTACTTTTCTGTGCTATGATATATACAAAGTTATTTTAAATAGGTGGTGTTGCCATCATATTTTGCAATAAAAATCTGAATTCTGAACCGTATATGTCAGAAAATTTAAAGAATGATGGGAAAATGGGAAATTTTTGTAGCTAAAATATCGGAAAATCACTGGCTATATTTCTAACAAAATACATTTTCTAAACACCAAAGAAATGCAATTAATTCGGTGTCTATTCGTTTTTCGACATTAATTATAAAATATCTTTCATGGTAAAATTAAGAAGGCAAAGTCATTTCAAATAAGCATTCCCATCTCTGCATTTTCTGTAACTTACCTTGTCAAATTTCACTACATAAAAACAGGTTCCTATCTTTGATTTGTGTGTATACAATGAATTTGTAAACACAAATTTTAACAATAAGTTGTTGTCAAATAAATAATTTTGAAAAAAAAAAAATGTAATCATATGATTTTATGACTTTACCTTCTTAATTCTACCATGACATCTTCTTAATTTCCTACATAAAATTTGCTGAGCGAATGAATATATATGTTTTTTGTTCCATTCAAATCACTTACAGAACTAAAATGAAATATGTGACATCCCTAACAAATGAGAGCATTTATCACAAAAAATAAATTATGACATTTAAAAATTCAAAATAGAAAAATTTTATAAAACTTTCAAATTTTTCAGGAAGACAGAAAATTATGATTGAACTGCAAGAATTTAAAAGTTGTTACTATGATAAACGATTTCTCCTTGATGATATCGAAACAAATTGCAAACCTCATAGATTCTTGCAGATTTTGGAACAGAGCTATAATGGTGAATGGCGCATGAACATTCAACCGGAAGTAAATGTTGTTCTCTTGCTTTTTGGCCAAGAGTTGGAATATTTGCAGAAAGATAGATACAAAAGAGACACTATTTTCAAAAATTTTGCATCAATAAAAAATAGATTGACAAGATTCTATCCAGCAAAAATAAAAAACAGAAATCACACAAAAATATATTCAAAATGTCAACATTTACAGAAAAGGATCAAAACATGAATACATATTATAAAAAAATGATAAAATACAAATTCCAATTAAAATGAACAAATTTTTTGAAAAAAAAGGAAAAAAAAAAATATGAATTACTAATCGTGCCATATGAACGGGTTAATTGTTGTAGCTAATTCTAAGAGCGAACAACGTGATTGAAAGTGCAATGAGAACATAGCATTAGAAATACATATTAATCAGCTAGTAAATATGCCTGGCTTTATTTTTTTTTTTTTGGTTTTAGAAAGTTGAAAATGCCTGGCTTTATATCTTTAATAATTCCATTACGTTTCAATAACTCTAAGTGCTTATCGATAGCATGACATCGTGTTTATCGATTCCCTCTCTCATAAAACACATGTTTTGTTGTTGCAGAGGGGTGTGAGCTTTACCATTGAGAATGTAAACAAATATAAACATAAATAGATATAATATGATTATTTTTGGAATTGTTTGAGATTAAATTGAATTTTCTTAAAAAAAGTAAAAAGCATAATAATTAATGTAAAAAAAAACAACATTTTTAGGTGGTTTTCATAAAACAAAAACAATCTGAGAGAGAAGTACGTGCTGGTTGTTTTGTAAACAAAAGATTGTTTACCTATCTGTTTTTGTTTTCATCTCACATTCTGTTTGTTTATCAGCTGGTCCAATTGACAGCTGGTAAGAATGTCAAAATATTGCAAAAAAAAGTTAAGATGGCTACAAATTAGATTGGTGTCTAGTGTGTGAGAAAACAATGAAGTAGTGAAATAAAAACGAAAAACGAGAGAAAAATCAAATAAAATCGAGAAAATATTATCAAAAACAGTGAAATATAAACAAACGAAAAAGGCAAATTGGGATATATATAGTTGTTCTCTACCGATTCCAGCCAATAACAAACTGGAAAACATGGACAATTTAGACATTGCCGAGGAGCAGACAGAAGAAAAAATCGGTGAGTTAATTGTGGCCGCTTTTGTGGAGCAAAAACAAATATTGGAATTCCTTCTTGGAAATATCAATAGTTATATGGGACAACATAACTATTCCCTATTTCATCTGAAGGTATTTGTCGTATGCCTAAAGAATACCGATAGCCTACATTATTTCGTTGCAATGGGGCGTTGCTATCATTTGCGTTGCCATTCGCCGCTGGTCTCCCTTGGAAATTGATATTAGGTCTAGTTTGGTTTCTTGCTGTCTGCAAGTCTTCATCGGTAGAACGTTCACTCTTGAGAAGTTACATTGACCTCCTTTTGAATTGATTTCGTTAATCTATTTGTGCCAGGGTTTCTGTGTACAGCGCTGGTTTTCTTTTCGAGATTTCCTTCTTCTGAACTCTTCTTTGTTAAAATTTAATTTAATTGACAAAGGGACTATGGGTCTTCTTATAAGAGTTCCACTTGGAAGTCTTGATTTGCCTACATTCAAATGTATTGGTTTTTTTTGGTGATGGTAGTGTCTTAAAGCCATGATTCATTTGTGTTGCATTCAATATCACTGCAGTGGTAGACGGACCACGAATGTAAACAAAAAGAAAATTGGGGAAGTATTCCCATAACAGCAATGTTTGTATAAATAAGTGGGGCACATATTTTTCTTATTAGATGATTTGAAAATATATGGAGATTGAAATATTTATTGTAAATTTGAAGGATGTAAGAAGAATAAGTGCTTGGATCAGACCTTCATCTTATGGAAAGGTGTCCACATAACATTACAGATATTTTTCTCTTGACTAGATAAAGTATAGGTTATTGTTGTGAAATGTATGCTCTGTTGTTTATGGACTGTTAATCCGGTTCTTCTTCGATGTCCAGGTTTATGAATTCTGCTACCTTTATGGGCTATGGCCGGAGATCCTCTGGACAGAGTTGGGTAGGCTTGGCTAGACAATTGAATAGATGCAGCGTATTGTGCGGGCCTGAATCGCACGCTGGGCAGGCGTTCCGCACACCTTCGTCAATTCGTGCCCAATATGAATTGAGACGGCAGCACCATCCTTAACGTAGTTGGGCCAAAAATACCCTTGTTTGCCTAGGCAGCCGACTCCAGGTTCAAAAATTCCGCTACTTTAATCGACTTTAACCAGAGGTCTTCTGGGGTGAGTGAGGTAAGTTTGGCCGGGCAATTGAAAAGGTGTAGCGTACTGGGCGGGCCTACATCACAAACCCGGCAATACGACGTTCTTCAGCTGCAATGGATGGTGGGGTGGACTCCGAGGACGGCATTGATGGTATAATTGTTGATGGCATTTGTGACTGCATCAGTATGAAAGCAACTCAGACCTGTCTGATAGGCTTCTTGATCTAGAGGCTCTCTCTTATAGCGTTACACCTCCCTCACTAGATCATGTATGTCCATCCTGACACGCCCGGCTGGGGGAATTTTATCCACCATATTATGGTTTGGATGACTCCCACGATAAACCCCAAGGTATTGCAACCAAAACATATGGCTATGTTGACGTATGGGAAGGACCTTCGCCTACTCGTGGTGTCATGAGGAGGCACCCTGTTGCAGTTCTTAGGGCAGAATTCTGGCAGGTCTGCATATTCTTCCACTGCGTGGCACTTATATACCCATGTGCTGCCGTCTAGCGCCTTGATTTCATTGTATCTACTTTTCATCTTGTAGCAGATAGCTCTAGCTTGCGCGGACGACTTAAACATGCTGTCGAATGTGACCCCTAGAATCTTGGTGTAGCTCGTGGTCGGTATTATATTTCACTAGACCTGCACCGTCATTCAGCTCTGTTCTCATCTCCGCAGACCATTTGGTAAAGAGTGTGGCAGTTAATTTCGTGGCGAATATTTTCATATTCCTCGCGTGGAAGTAGGTGGGAAACTCCGGGAGATAGCTGTTCAACCTTGCACACATGTCATCATGGGTGTTTGTCTCTATCGGCGAGAGGTGTATGGATAAGAATTTGAATACAGAACTGGAATCTTGTTTTCTGATAATATGATATGAACAATATTTTCACTTTTTCATTGTTCGTAGATATTTGCTTCCCAGCATCAGAAAGTATATGACAGAAAGAGCTATGAGTACGTAATGGTCACTTGTTCGACATTGCAGAGCTGAGACGGTTGTTTAGACTGCCTATTTGGACGTCATGACTCCTCAAAAATTTCACTTCCCTAAAAGACTTCCCTGCTCTTCGCAATAGGGATGCTAGTATGAGAAGTGTAGGGGTATATTTTAACGGATTATGGCTATGAAGGTGATGGAAGTGCAAAAGTTATTGTTGCAGTGGTTAATATTGATTGTGTTGGATCTGCTAAACTGTGACTACAACTCTAACTTTAAAAATTTGGATTTTTCTTTAGGCTGTTCTCTAGACAGATGCTCTGCACATTGTCACTCATCAATTTAGAAGAAATTGAAGCGGCTACTAACAAATCCTTTTGTTTTTTCTAGACAATCGAGGTATAACTACAACTGGAGTTGGAGTTCTTTCTGTCATGCCTGAAGACGGTTTGGGTGAAGAATTATGGGAAGAATATTCTTCTGACGTAAATAATTCATGAGAAGACATCTTATTGCAGTAATCATGTGACGTTCTGATATGTCTGCATTGTTCTTCATTGCATAGTAGATATATTTAAACCACACTGGTGGCGTCTAGCTATTTATAGACTGTTGCATTACTTTAGGAGAGGTACTGTTGGTTTGTGACTCACGGCAACGTAGTTCATATTCGAATAAGTAAGGTTCAATGGCCCGCTGGACAAACCGCAACAATTCCTAGATTTTCCGAATTGGAATAGGTCTCATAACTAAAGATGGTTTATCATGTTCATGACCTTCAAGTATCCAATTAACAAAGACACAAACTTTATAGACCTACAGACTTGTCACAATCAAAATGGGGAATTTTGTAAATTTAATGATATAGTCCTAAATGATTTATTGACACAGGTTACGCAATGAAACTTGGTTGTGTCCTTTTGTTGTGTCGTGACATTTATTCCAGTGACAGGGGATGGATTTGCTCCCGCACCAGATGTGGTATGGATGACAATCTGCTCATCTTAAAGGAGAGTATCATACCAGCCACCATCACCACTTTGCATAAAAATATTACTTATGCCGACTTTCTCGTATATCCTGATTTACGGTCATTTTCCGTTTCGACCACGATTTCCAATCAAATCAGCAGTTATTCCACATTTCGGGTTGATTAAGTCCTCGCAAAAAATATCTGAAACATTTTGGTCAAATTTTTCCAACCAAAAGAGCTATAAATTTATATTTCTGGTTATTAGATTTTAATTTAATTGTTCGCCAAAAATATTCAATATTGGCCTACTTTTTAATCTTATATAATTCTAAGGTCTTGGTAAAAAATTTGAACCAAATATGTTGTTTTTTTACATTTGGATTTTCAGTACGTAATTCAACTCCTCTCAATAGCCAACATAGGTCTGCAGGGTGACATAAAAAACTGCAACACAGTCAAAAGCCATACTTTTTACTTTTTTTTTAAATTTTATTGAATGAAAGCAAAAAATGTCGGATATATCATCAAATTTTAAAATAAGTTTAGATTTGTTCGAGTTGGTCACCTTTGACACGAATTATTGCCTTCAAACGACCAATGAAACCGTCACACGCTGCCCTGCAAATAACTATTCTTGGGTGACGCGTGCTTAGTGCGATGGTGCTGAGTCCTGTTGGAATGTCCAAGGTCTGCTTGTTTGAGTGCGCAAGGCTTTAATACACCCTCCAGAATATTTTTGCGATAATATTCGGCAGTTATTCTGATGCCACGGTCGATAAATACGAGCGGAGAGCGACCATCGGCGCTTGAGTTCTGGTGGTCAACCGAAGGTGCACATTTTCAGCTGACCTCTATGGCAAGTAAACACGATCATTTTGTTGGATTACAAACTGCTGGACAACGAATGTTTTCTCATAGGAGAAAACCAAATTCGGCAGTTCACCACTTTCGGCCAAGCGAAGCAACTCTTCAGCTCTTTTGAGTCTATTTTCTTTCTGTTGCGGTGTAAGTTCTTGCACTTTTTGGAATTTTAATGGCTTTACCCCGCACCCATTTTTCAATATTTGCGGAAGGGAATATGGCGATATATTCAGCTTACGAGTCATTTTTCGGCCACTGCGACGCGGGTTTCGATCAAGTCGCTTCTTTACTTGTCGAACCAGTTCTGCTGATGTTGCTGATTTCTTCCGTCCACTTCCTTGACGTCGGGCTACACTACCAGTATCACGGTAACAGCGACATTAGCAGAAATGGTTCGAAAAGTAAAGAAGCGACGAGACACAAAAGATTTGTTCACATTTAAATGCTAGAGTGCTCTAACGATAGCCACTTGTGGTTTTCCAGCTAAATATAAAAAAATCACACTATCACCCTTGAATTCCGCACGAATAACTTTTTCTGGAAAATTCTCACCAAAATGCCTTTGTACGCTTGTAAACAATATAATGAGCTGTCACTGGAATAATTTTAACAGCTGTTGAACGAGTGGTTTAGAAATGACAGCAATCTGAAGTTGGTTGCAGTTTCCTGTACTACATAATAAGGCGCCCATATAACTGCACCTCCTGATTTTCGGAGTTTCAAAAATTTTGATCCGAATTTCCAAATAAATAAATCAGCTGTAATTTGTAAAATTTAAATGTAATCTGTAAAATATTTTGGGCTCTCCGTGGAGATTTGAGGATGTCCTCTTTGACCATTAGACAATTGTTCTCAATGTCCAGAATCGATAATTTTGTTATGAAAAATTACGATTTTCAAAATATGATGGTTCGAACTATCTAGATTCTACTGTATGTTATAACAATCATGCTGGTGTCTCATAAACGTCTAATTTCTCGTATTCAATTTGAAATGTGCGTAAAAACAAGCCCATACGAACAACAACAACATCATTTCATTCATAAAACGAAATAAAATCGCAAAATGAACCGAAAACGTATCAAAAC